AACACTTTGAAGACTGGCACAATGACTATTCTTCAGTGTCAGGACATTGCTGTGCTTCAAAGTGTCAAATCCAGTAACTGAAAATTGGAACTCAGAAGCCATGGTGTTGCACCCAGCCAGCGCTGAAGTGGAGGATGTTTCTAAAGAATTAAAGTTACAAACAGGGCTCATAACAGAAGAAAAGCAACAAGTGACTGTAAAAATGGGATGGCTTTCTATTATTATTGTTGTATATTTGACAATTTTCTAGACTTTATTCTTTGCTGGCAGTTGAAGCTGTCTTCCAGATCACAGTGCTAACTAACATGCTGCTCTCCATAAGTATCCATTATTTCATATTTCTCTGTGGAAAGAGTAGAGGCAAACCGGGTAGATTTGAAAGGAAGAGATGAAGATGCCTGTCTGCTAACAGAAGTCACGTGAGTGCAGAAGGGTTTTTTCTAAAAATAAAAAAAAAGCACCAGGCGAAAACTAAATGTGAAGGCCACTTACTTATAATACATGGCTTGTCACACAAATGACTTCATCCTGTGTTTAGCATATTTTGTGCTATTTTGGCCTGTTTGAACGGAAAAAGTGACTCACTTTTTCTCTTTTGAAAATAGAACAGCAGGATCTGCTGTTTGAAGTTCTGCTTTTCTTGTACAGGATGTAGACAATACCTCAGAGGCCTGACCTGATGGATCCCAAGCCATCAATGCGTCAGCAAGGGAGCTGGGCTGGATTCTCAGTAGCTAAGTACTGGAGATTTTCTGCTTCCTTAGGAGTGAGAGTAACTAACAGTAAGTAGTTAAACAAAACAGGGAATACCTCTTTTTCAGAATATATCTCCCATCTGAATTCATACACTGAGGTGGGTCACTTAGGACTAGCAAGAGAACTGAAGGTGCAGGTTTGGCACATCTGCTACATTAAGCATGATACTGTATGCCCTAGGCTCACTATGCAGCTGTTGCCACAACACAGTGTTAAAGGCAGATGAACACTAATTCCACGTGGTTTTCCTCTTATGTCCTGTGAGGGTTGGCTGAAAGACTGCAAGAACTAAGTCTTGAGACAGACTCACTATGATGTTACTAAAGAACTGCTGATAGTCATAAGCAGCAGCAATACAAAGCTCTTTTCTAGATTGTGCTAATGTTGTTCCTTGATATTTCATGCATGGCCATCCATTTCAGCAGATGAGAGCAGTGCTCCATTACAATGCCTGTTATCCATCTGAATCATAGAACAGTTTGGGTTGGAGTAGACCATAAAGATCACCCAGTTCCAACCCCCTGCCATGCGTTGGTTGCCCCACACCAGCTCAGCTGCCCAGGACCCATCCTGCCTGGCCTTGAGCACCTCCAGAGATGAGGCACCACAGCTCTCTGGGCAGCCGTGCCAGGGCCTCGCTGCCTTCTGAGTAAAGAATTACCACCTAATATCTAATCTAAACCTCCCTTTTAGTTTAAAGTCACTCTCTCCTGTCCTGTCACTACCAGACTGCATACAAAGTCTCCCTCCTCCTTGTAAGTTCCCCTCAAGTACTGGAAGGCTGCAGTGAGGTCTCCCAGCAGAGCACAAGTTGCAGGGCCAGCAGAGCTATGCAGGAAGTGGGGCTGGAGGGGCTTTGGGCTGACTGTGGGAAGACCTGCGAAACAGTTGTGGGACCTGTACTGCACTGGCACTGCAAAAATGACACAGCTCTTCAGCTTTCCCAGTAAAAGCTCTGGAAAAATGCTTTCAAAGGAGATGAGTGCAGAATGAAGTAGGTTCACAAGTAAGAAATGACTGTTCCTCTCCAAACATTACTGAACACTGTGCAGGCTGCCTTCTCTATGGTTTAACATTTTCCTAGGATTCTGTTTACAAAGTGCTACAGACTAATTTTACACAGCTTTCTTGGAATAGCGCTGAGAGCATAACTGCACAGTTGCACAGAATTACCAAGCAGGGCAACCACAACCAACAGAGCAGGGAGGGGCAGAAAGCTCTAACCTAGATTGGCCTTCCTGCCAAAACTGGGTCAATGAACTTTACCCAGTGCTTTCTAAATTAAGTTCTCCCACTTCTCAGAATGCAGCTCTGCTGCCAGTGCTTCTGTGAGATGCCTGGGACTTTGAAAGCACTCAGGGACAATATATATTACATATATATATAAGGGCCTGAGCAGGGCCTGAGATACCCTCAGGCATCACAAATGCCATTCACACCTGCAGGAAGCACCTGAATCACTTGCTGCTAAAGTCCCATATATGCTGACATCTGAACAGCATGTAGTTACTGATGATTGAAAAACACTGGCCCCATACAGGTCTAAAGAAAAGCATATCGCAGTAACAGTTTGCCTGCTCTTGTTTTGCCCTACTATCTCCTCCAGCTCCCTCTTCAAAAAGCAGGGCTTCCATGCCAGCACTTGCTGTTAGCCTGGCTGTTGCTCCCCATGCAGACTACCTTCATCAGTCTAAAGTACAGCTGGTTCCAGTATTGCTGCTTTGAACATCAGCTTCCAAGTCGTGCACCTTACGCCTTATCAAGTTTTTTTAATCATCTTTAGCTTTGTAAGTTGCTACATAAGACAAAAGAGCCTTTAAGAAGTTCAAAAGCAGAAGGATGTTAATCAGAGCTGCTTAATGTTATGTTCTATGTTCGAAATATTTGCATTATTAAATTGCAAAATCAAAGGAAGTACATGTAATACAGTTGGACAAAAGTACAGCTAAAGAATCCTATGCACTGCAAGGTATGTATGTGAAAGTGGTGCTAGCTATTGTACAGTATTAAAACAGTACTGTGTAAACTATGGAAGAATGGATAAGGTCACAAGTCAGGGTCACTGAATTCACACTACAAATATGTAAAAAGATGATCCACTCCTCCCCCAGACTGCAAAGCAAGACTGCTTCAAAAACAGTACCTCCAGTATCACTTCAAAGGGACTCTATCTAGCTTAGAGATGCAGAGGAAAGACAAACAAGAACTAAAATGCATTTGCATAATTACCTTCACTGAATGTGGAGATCTGCAATACTACTGATGGAAACACCCAGAATCTGCTAACAAATCAGTCATGTAGAATCATAGCATCATTAAGGCTGGAGAAGACCTCTAAGATCACTGAGTCCAACTGTCTACCTACCATTAAGATTGCCCACTAAACCATATCCCTCAGTACCACATCTACTCTTCTTTAAAACCTTCAGCGGTGGTGACTCCATCACCTCCCTGGACAGCCTGTTCCAATACCTCACCACTCTCTCTGAGAAGAAATTTTTCCTAATATCCAACCTGAACCTCCCCTGGTGCAATTTGAGGCCATTCCCTCTCATCCTGCTGCTCTTATCTTGGAAAAGAGGCTGAACCCCTCCCTCACCACAACCTCCTTGTAGGCATTTGTAGAGAGCAATAAGGTCTCCCCTGAGCCTCCTCTTCTCTAAATTGAACAATCCCAGTTCTCTCAGCTGCTCCTCATAAGACTTGTGCTCCAGACCCTTCACAGCTCTGTTGTCCTTCTCTGGACATGCTCCAGGGCCTTGATTTCTTTTTTGTGCTGAGGCCCAAAACTGAACACAGTACTTGAGGTGTGGCCTCACCAGGTCTCAGCACAGAGGGATGATCCCCTCCCTACTCCTGCTGGCTGCACTACTGCTGATACAAAGCAGGATGCCATTGGCCTTCTTGGTCACCTGTGCACACTGCTTGCTGATGTTCACCAAGCATCAACCAACTTCCTTCTCCTCCATACAGTCTTCCAGCTACTCTACCCCAAGCTTGTAGCGTTACCCGGGGTTGTTGTGGCCAAAGCAGTTGGTCTTGTTCAACTTCATCCCACTGGCCCCAGCCCATCAGTCCAGCCTGTTTCCAGGTACCCTCAGAAGGGTGTGGCTGCAATTTTGCTAGAAATACAACATACAGTTCAGCCTATGCAGGAACCCACAGGTAGATTGCCCTAGCTGGCAGGTGGTTAAGTCAGGAGACCCAGAGGTTTCTTTGAAAGACTCAGACAAGGGCGCTTTTGTACATATGAACTGTAGATTAACAACAGGAAAGATGTATACAAACACCACCCATGTAACATCTTCATGCATGAATGGCAATTCACTAGTGACAAGCATTTCCCTGCACAATGCAGGTCTTGCTCTGAACAGTAAGCAGCCATTTCAGTGTCACCAAATCACAATAACCAGCCACAAACTGCACAGCCTTTGCTACCTTCATGTATGTGGAGTTCTTTTTACAACAGATGTGTACACATAAGATCTATAGATGAAGAGATGGGAACCAGTTACACATCTACACCTTGCCACCATCCTGGAACTTGAAAAACAGCATTTTCATATCACACTAGAACAAAGGACACAAATATTGTTATACACAGGTGTGAAGATTGAGAAACCTACATACACTTCAACATTAACATGTAACTTGAAAAGATGAAGTCTGACAAATTGGCAGCGCTGCAGCATTTGATAGTTATCCCAGCATATTCTTCTCCTGAAATTTGATGTTAAGTCCTTGAAAAATATCCATGAATACTTTCCCCCCATAGAGGTGAGCAGCTACTGTGCAAGTCCTGGGATACAGAACAGAAAAAGGTAAAGAGTTAAAGGAGTCACGGGATTACCAGCTTACAAAACAATCCCAAGGCTTCCAAGGAGGCTAGGAAATCTTACTATTAAATTGCACAATCACTTCAAGCTTTTAAATACTGCATTTACATTTTAATTTTTCAACATTAAGGTTATACTGCTGCACAGCTACCTTTCATTTAATCTCTAAGGTCTTTAGAACCATTCCTGGCCACAGTTTCTATTCTTTGAAAAAAAATCAAGACAGAAGTACTAGATGCTGATTTATTAAACTAACTAAATAATGTTAGAAGTCTGAATCCCCTACTTCGGGGAATGAAACACTGAAGACCACAGAACTGAAAAAAGTCCAAACTTCTGACAGAAGAGTTCAGTGACTGCAGCCTACAGAGAAAAGCCAACAACGGGAACAGAATAAACAAGCACTCATTTGCTAAGTAAAAATATTTTAATTCTTCATATAAATTGTTATTAATATACATTACACATATCTAAACACAATCAAAAACTTTAAAAAGTCTTGCTTTTCCTTCAACAGTTAGTCTATTTTCTCCCCCCCATCTACAAGAAAACCAAAACAGAACAAGAACAGTAGCTGAAATTCACTATCAAAGAAAATCCCTCTTGTTTCCTCACATCCTATACTGACTTTACATGGAAAGATGTTGGAGGCAGAGGGTGCTTATAGGGATGGCCTCTGTGAGAACAGACCACAGCCTGGCAGACTTAACCAGTTCCAACAGGGACTCATGGCTGGCCAAAAACAATCCAGTGAGCAATGCTGGTTACATCTGATAGCAGATTTAAGAAATAGTAAATATCTCTACACAACTGCAGCTGGGAGCCCTGCAGCCACCAAGGTCAATGCAGGAGGAGAGCAAGAGCAGCTCCTGGCACCAGAGCAGACTGCCCTGGAGCAGGTTGCCCCCCTGTAGCCCATAGAGGATCACAGCAGAGCAGATATCCAACTTAGAGCTTACAGAGGATGCTCTGCCAGCAGGTGGATATGAAGCTCCTGCAGAAGCAGGCTCCTACCAGGAACTGTGTTTCTGGAGAGCAACCCCCCATAGAGCAGGCTTTCTGGCAAGGACTGCACACATGGGGCAGACCCACACCAGAGCAGTCTGTTCCTGTAAGAGCAGTTCTATACTGGTGTCTTCTGAAGCAGCAGGCATGAATAAAAACCACATTGTGGGCAGGGAGGAGGCAGAAGAATTAGGAGTAAAGTTGAGCCTAAGAAGGCAGCAGAGCTGGGGGGAAAAGGTGGTCTGTTCTAGTAATAGTGGGATAGTGAGAACTATCAGTAAATTAAATTCACCCGCACCCCATCAAGTCTATTTTGACTATGACAGAGATTCTTGAGCCATCTCCCACTCATTATCCTGACCCATATGCTTTTCTATCCTATCTTCTTGCCCCACCTTGTTAAGAAATGAGAGGGCAAGGTTAGCCCACCACACATCAAGGAATAAATGCATGATGAAGAGTTATGCAAAGCTCAATTTGAGAAACTTGACCAGAGGGGTTTTGTTTTATTATTCAGATAACAGCATACTAATGGAACTACTTTCCTTAGAAAGGAAACATTATCTTAGTACCAAGTTAGTGTTATAAATAGAAGTTTTCTTTGGCAAGCAAGACCCAAAATATTCATTATGTTGATTCACTCCACTGTTACACAACTGTGTTAGACAGCTGATTAATCATCTTCTATAACACAATTTTCCCATTCTGAAGACATTGCTGGTTTGAGCATGAATGTTTCTGTCATCTGTTGGGCAAAAATATTTTGCAAGTTTCCCTCCTTACGAAAGAAATGTACGAACTGTACCCTTTATTGTTCCCCTGCAAATAGGGCATTTTCTAAGGGATGGTGCACATTCTTTGCATACCACTAAGTGCCCACATGGAATAAAAACAATAGAAACTTCTTTGTCCATGCAAACTTTACACGTTCTTTCTTCTTGCAATCTCCTTAGTTGTTCTTCCATAGGTAAACCTGGGAAAAAAAAAAAAAATGAACTGTTAAAAAGCCTGAGTAGAAATGCATTCTGCTTAGAAAGTGGGGAAATAAAGAGTGAAATGGAATGTGATTATCTGTATTCACTATAGATGGCAAACATAGTTATGGAAAGAAGCACATCTCAGCTCCGAAACTGGTGTGCAAGAAACCAGCTAGTCTGCACTTTCCATTTCTGTAATACAAACAGCTCAGGGATTGCAACCAGCTCTAGTTCTTGAGCCTTTTGTTTATATTTTAGCATATGCTGTACTCTTCATGTTTAGATATTAGAGGCACAGCGTACAGTGACTGGTGGAAGTGAACTACATTCAGGCTTGAATACTTTAATGCAGTCTATTAACATATTAAATTTCATAAACATCTGAACTATGGGAGTAAGAACTAGAGCAAACTAACTCATGTCTGATGAATTCTTCTATCCAGCTGTTGGCCAAACTAGATCTTAGGACAGCTATAAACCACTTCAAAAAAAGTAGAAGTCATGATATCTGCTGTGATATGCTAACCTACTATTCACTGCCCAATTTCAGCCAAATGCCTGAATGAGAGTTTGTAACAGGCTCAAGTCCAGCCTGTACCTGAATTCTCAAGCTCCAGAAAACCCTACCTAGTGCAAAAGTACCCGTGTAAAGCACAATGTATAGCTTAAGGCAGACAGACTAGCTTACACTTGACTTTCAGATAAACATATCTTACTAAAGCAAATCAGGGAGACAGTACAGAATAAAACCCATTTCTTAAACATCCTCAAAAGAAAAGAACTTTGTTAACTATATGTCCCACAATACCCTTCAAATTAAGAAAGCAGAATTTAAGATACCTGATACATCTTCTGTGGGAACATACTTCATGCTCTTCTCCACTGAAATAAGAGGAAAACATTCAAGTTACTTCTCTATATTCCAACAGCATGTGATTTTTACACAGCTTTACTGAGAATTGTTAAGAAAAAAAATGACATACCAAATAAGTCTTTGTAAAGTACAGGGTCACAATCTTTTAGACAGTTTCTGAATATGCTGGCTGCTGCATTGCCTTTCACTAGAACTGTATCGATCAGTTCTCTTGCTTGCAATGGTGTCTGAGTCTTTTGCTTAATGACATCATGCTCAAGTTCTGTTATCACATTAGCTGAAAGTAAACTCCCAAGGATTGGAAGTATAGAGGTTAAACGCTGGAATAAAGCCATCCGATTCTTCCGGATTAAGGACAAATCATCTGGAATACAGAGAAGATTACATGTTTGTTACGAATACGGCATTTCAAGGTACATTTTAAATGAACACATTCATTCAACTCTATTCAAAATATTCACTTACTACAGATCAAAAAAAGACCTCAATATTTTAGCAGTGTTCACACACACAATAGGTTTAAAGAAAGCCAAAAGTGTTGAAGCTTTTTCTGCTGAGGAAACCTCCTGCTCCTACCACTGGATGAAAGCGTTCCAGAGTATCCTATCTAATTTCACACTAGCAAGAATCATCCTCTGCATAACACCAATGCTGAGAACTGAAAGGCTGACATGTAGATAGGATTAATCTTTCCTAAGAGTTACCCAACACAATTATGTGCAGGAAAATAGAAGCATAGCACAACTAGACTTGAGAATTTTGTTTATTAAATAGTCTATCATATACAATTGATAAAAAAACCATGTAATTCCCATAAAGATTCAATGGCTGAAGCCACCTCTGCTTTTGTAATAGAATACACAAGCAGGCAAGAAACCAATTCAACTTTCAATTGATTTAGTTAACTGCTTCACAGACTCCGAAATAGCAGGAGGTTTTTGCTTCAAAAACTACACAGCCTAGAAACAGCAGCAAATGTCAAAGGTGCATCAAATAAGCATTATTAATAGCTGACATACATGGTTAAGTCAGACACAAAGTCTGACAAAATAGCCTTGACTCTGACAATCCTGTAGGATTTAAATTAGCCCTCTTCTAACCTCTTCTAAGAGGTGGCTATGTTGACTCACTAATAAAAAGCAGACAAATTTGGAAGGAGACAAAGAAAAAAAGTCTTGAAGTATTTTGCTTAAATTTGATTAATAGCAATATAAGAGTACAAATTTATTAAAATATGGCTTTGCTTCTGTGGAGAGAATAAGGTAATTCTAAAATCCAAGTACCTGTACAAACCATGCTCCTAGAAAGGAAAGAACTGAGACTACCAGTTCTATATAGACAGGCAAACAATACTTTTATAGAAGTTGATTCTAACAGCAAGTTAAATTAAATTACTTTGTGAATAAAAACAACTAGAAAAGTCAGGCCAGAAAGCTGAACAATGCAAACACCTTATGCTTTCATTTCTATTCACCCTATGCATACCTGAGGCCACTTCTTCAAACTGTCTCTCTTTCTCTTCCTCCCTCTTCTCATCTTCAGCAGTGAGTAGATCAGACACAAGATCATTAACAGTCTTATAGTTTTCTTCAGTGGCCAGGATTTTACTTTGCACTGTTTGCTTTACTAGACGCCTACTGAATCCCATCTCCAAGGCAGCTTTAACTACAGGAGTGTTCATCATGATTGCATCTTCTGAAGGACTCTCTCCAGGTTCAAAATGAATAACTAATTGAACAGAAGAAGTCAATGTTTATCAGAAAGAACAGAATACTCCTATAAGTCATAAACATTACCTACATGCAAAACCTAAATATTATAAAAGCTAATACCTTCAGTGGTTAGTCTTTTTCAAAGGCATTTTAGCAGTTAAACAAGTTATTTAGATTCAGTTGTACTGGATCCATACTCAACTTTGATTCATGTCAAGTCTTCGCTAAATTGTTTAAGATAGTTTAGAGAAAGCACATAGAATCCCACTGTGACTTAGGATTTTTTGTGTGCGTGTTGGTTTGCAGGGCTTTTTATGCTTAGTTATTTCTAACTTCAGCCTTGAGAAGCTAGAAACCCCAAATTCAGAGACCAGTTCATTGCGGTATATGCTATTTCAGCTCTCGACAAATACTTTCCATTCAACTTACTGAGCACCAGACACGTGGGACTGAGTCTTTGTCCTTAACCAGCAGGAACTACAGCATTATCTCCTACTCACCATAACTGGAATTCCGCTCACAATGGAACTCAAGGACTTCACTTTATCAGCTTGTCCTACCCTTTCGTGATCACTGCTGCCCTGTTCCCTTTTTAACCATCTACATGCCTAAAAATGGAATTGCACAACCTCATAACACCCTCAAGCAACTGCTCCACCAAGTTCCGATCTCTAGAAGTAGCTTCTCTGAAGTCATAGAGGCAACTATAACACTGCTGATCCCAAGCAAGTCTAAGAATTGCTAAACAGATTAGTTTCAGAGATCCAGTCATTAAGTACACAAAGTGCTGAGGAACTTCAACAATGTGCTTTCCATGTTATACATACTTGGATCCATGTTTTCATCTACGGGTGTATCAGAAGTTGACAGGAGCTGTGGAACATAATGAAATTATATTACTATCCAAGCACTGCTTTTCCCTCCATGTACCACACCAGCACAGTAGTCTCTCAGTCATGCTAAGTTTTCTAACTGAATGGTACCCATTAAGGATTTGACATGTGGTTACAAAAGCCTGAATTTATAGATAACCAATACAAAGTTAGTGCTGACCACTTCTGTGAAAAGCTCAGCTTCTTATTAGAAAACCCAAAGTAACTCATGTGTGAGACTATGAGAATTGCCCGTGACCAGTTTCTCAAACAGCAGCTGCTGATTTGCATTATTCACCAGAACTTGCATAATCAGAACTTCCTTCTCCTGACACCGAGGTTCAAAGGATCTAATTGCCTCCTAACAAGTAACAAAGGATTGTCTGTAAGTGACTGAGTGTTGTAACCTTGGAATTACTACTATAACATTACACCGCCTACTTTTTAATTTCCCATGACGCTCCTTATGTGAGTAACCCTGTACAGGGTAAGCTCCAATCACTCAGTCCCATTGCCCAGGGATCAGCACTAATTTTGTTGTTTTGTACTCATAAAGAGCATTTACCACGTTGTAAACCTAGTAGAAATATATCTAGAAGGCAGAAGGAGATACTGGACCCTCCAGAAGAGCACAGCACTATTCAGCAAGGGAAAAAGCAAAGTTACAGAATTGTAAGGTTTACCTGTTCAAGAAGATGAGGAAACCTGGCCTGAACTTGACTTACAAACTCTCCTCCTTTCACACGAAGCAGATACTCACACCTGAAACATTGGCAAAAACATAATTTATTTCCTATTTCCCAATGGGAACAACAAAAAAATAAAAATGCAGAAGAATGAAGCCACCTACAACAACACATAAATTAAATGCATGTTTCTCTTCCTTTTCATTGGGTGAAGAGTTCTCTAAACTGTAAGCTTGATATAGTCTAGTATCTGATTACACTCTGATAAAACTTTTCCATTATGTTCAGCAGTGAGTAGGATTAGGCACATAAATGCAGCAGCTCTATATGTGCTACTACTTTTAGTCAAAATGGCACTTCATGAGATATGACAGCATGTCAGTGCCATTGCAAATGCAGTAATAAACTGTTTCTAACCACATCTCATTGTTTTTTTTTTTTTTTTTTTTGTTTTTTTTTAATCTCCTACTCAAATCATTCAGAAATTCAGAACTCAACTCTCCACTATCAAAGCCAGATCTGCTTCAAGAATTCAGAGTTTTATTTCTTCTTAAGTACAGAAACAAAAGGCATCACTTTATACATGCATCCTGTAGTCCAACAGGAGCTGGTAAATTAACTACGAATGATTAGCTGGAGATCTACAGTGTAAAGACTTACTATTGGCTGCACTCAATTTCAGGAAAGCTATTTCTGTCATTAATGGAGGTGGAGATTTCCAGAGGTACAGGCAGCAACTGGGCACACAACTGCTACTTAATTACAGGGAATGTATTCAGAAGTTATTTTTACCATTTTTCCAATAAAGACATGTTCACAGCCACTGAAATCTTCACAGTCCTTTCTATACGTAGGAGACTAAACTACTTGCTGAAAGGCAGGTTCAAGAGCATTCAAGACATGCACAGAACTAGGCCAAAGTTCAAAGTCCTCTCCACCTCACTTCTCAGCAGCTCTTCTCCTCAGCCTGCTTTCTGACTGCTTCCTTACCTAAGGTGCCCCTCATCAACAATGCAGCATCACTTGCTTGATTTGGGGATGCATACAGTTTTCAGTCATTAAGTGGAAAGCATTAAATATCATGCTTAATGAAGAAGTGATTCAAGCCCACTTTAGCACGTCAAGAGTTTTTGCATGAAATATAACCAAATGATAATCTGTACACCATATGGTAAAAATAAATACATTTGGTGTCATACATAACTACCAGAATTAAAACTATTTTAACAGTAAGGATGCGAACCAATTGTGATAAAGAATTTGCAAGTTACCTTGGAAACCACTTTGCATGCTCAATCCATGGATCATCTCCAGATTCCCAGCACCTTAACCCACCATCACAGCAAAAACACTTGACATCATCGTTGCGGCCTTTAAAACACAAGGTGAAATATCTAGCAACCATTTACACAACTTAATGTTGATGTAGCAATACGAATGACATCAGAGACATCAGGTTTTCTTACCTACATAGTAAAAACCAGCATCTGCAAGCTGTTCAGGCTGAACTGGAATCCGAGTTGGCCAATTAATGAACGTTTTAACACGGGCTTCATGGGTTTGCATGGTCACATTGGAAACATTGAAACTTGGTTGGTCTCGCATGATGTTTTCCACAAAGGGGCAGTTGGGAAAATGCCTCCGGTGCTCTGACATGGCATTGTCTTTTGGCTCCCAGTTACTCAACTGACCACCACAGGTGAAACATGCAACTTTGTCTGCTGTCCCCAAGTAATAAAGTCCAGCTTTTGCCAGATCGGTGGGCGAGAGAAACATCAGGGGCCATGAATGGAACGTGCGCAGCCTAGCTTCTTCTGTACTCATGGAAGGGTTGTGAAGCTTAGATGTTAAGTGTGAGAGGTCTTCGGCAGCCCTAGTAGTAATTGGGTCTTGAGGAAAACTGGAAAAAGAGCCACTGAAATAGCCAACTTGTTCAAAGCTTGGAGAAAGTGTCATGGAACGTAGAGATGGTGAGAGATTGCTCGTGACCAGAGGAGAAAAGGCAGAATGAGTGGACAGTCCAAGGTTGTTAAATGATAGCATGTTTTGAACAAAACTGCAGCTAGGATACACCTGTTTATGCTTCTCCATAGCGTTATCTCCTGGCTGCCAGTTGTCCAACACTAAGCCACAACTGAAGCATTTAACTTTATCTTGGACACCAGTGTAATAAAACCCAGCCCGGGCAAGCCTTCGTTCTGACACTGGTACATTAACAGGAAAAGTAGAAAACGTTGACATTCTGTAGAGCTCACAAGATAAGTCGTACTTCAGTTCTCCAGACTGAGCATTCTGCTTCATCACACTTGCCAACAAAGGGCTACTATCCATTATGTTCATAATGAACTGTTGTTGGAAAAAATGGGACAAGTCTTCCTCTGGGAGGTAGTTGTGTGCACTAAAGGCAATTCTGAATAACCCTTGCAAGTACAAATTAAGAACCTGGAAATGAAATATTTATGTATAACTTTGAATGCATGTATGAACAGAATCAGTCATGCGACTATCAGACTTAAAACATTTGCCAAGTTCTCATACTTGTGTCTGCACAACTGCTTTCTGTGCGAAAGCTGATCCATCCCATTGACAAACACAGGTATGTCAAAGAGGACTTTCCGTCGTGCTACACAGTCACATCATGTGCTTTCCCTGTGCTGTGCACCTGGGAGAGCAGTACTGCTCAGGTGGGTGGGGTTGGGGCCCTAAGGGGAAAGCCTCAAATGGGTTTATCAAAATCCTTTTGTTAATAAAGAAACTAAAATGGTGGGTGGAGGACACGCTGTATTTCCCAGTTTAAAATACTGCCAAGTGATTTAAAAACTATTTCACCCCAGGCAGCTGATCAACTATACAAAGACAAAATTTCAGTTTACAAAACTCATCAGGAATCTCAAAACAGCCCACTGAATTGATCTAGTCTATTTGCTACTGCTGAACTGCCAAAAACACCCTTGACACGTGAATATTGTTGTAAGAACTGCTAAGACTTCAGAAGTCAGTTTACACTCAACTTCACTTATATTAAAGCTCAGCTATGAGATGTAATAAATCCTACACACTGCCTCTGACAAGGATGAGTTGTCTTAACTAACGAGCCTGGAACAGCCCCAGGCTCTTCTATCGGTAACAGCACAGAATGAACAACGTGTTTCAGTTTTAACCTGGTGCCTTAGTTACAAGTATGCAGTTATCACCTTTAACATAAGTAAATTGCTTTGCGTTGGGACATAACGAAACCTTATAGTGATAAATTAAGGTTTTTCTGTATGCCATGTTTATAAAGCAAACAGAACCCTCGGGTAAAAGGAGAAAGCACCTTAGTTTCTTTATTTGTGCACAGAACTACCTCCCAGAGTCCAGACTTAAGTCCCGTTTGAGGTGCCTACGCCTCCATCCTGGTACTGACTGCTCACAAGGAAAAACTGTAAGTGTTTATAATTTCAATCAGTGCTTTTGTGCAGAACAAAACCTGTGAAGGAAAAAAGGGGGGAGCGTTTCAAAATACACGAAACGACGTGCGTGCAATAGCGAGATACGCAGGAGCTACAAATAGAAGCACTAAAACTGCAGGGCAGGCTTCTCTGAAGCGGCAGCTCGTTCCCTTCAGGAAACGCGCAGTGGCACCGCAGGCCCTCGCCCAGCTGCCCTCGCCGAGCCGCGCAGCGCTGCGGGCGGATGGAGCCGGCAGCCCGGCACCCGCTGCGCAACCGCGGGAACATCGCGTACCGAGGGAGGCACGGCCGTCCAGATGGCCTCCAGCCTGAACAGCCTCAGGCAACGGGGATTCAATTTCATCGCGCCGCCAGGTTAAAACCAGCGGAGCCCCTCGTTTAGTTAAACCCAACAAGCTCCGCACAAAGCGTCACGAGGGCAGACGCCGCGTCACGCTGACACGGCCCCAAAAACCCCTCCGGGAGCGGGGGGCCGCCGCTTCCCGGCCGCCTCCGTTCTGCGTGCGGCCACGGCTCACCGCCGAACCCCCGAGCGCGGCGGAGCTCGGTCGCCGTCCCGCCTGGGTAAAGCCGGCTCCAGCGGCAGAAGCGGCGCAGCCCGGCAGCCGCCCCACGGCCCCACGCTCCCGCCGCCCCGTCGCGCTCGCTCGCCCCCACCCCGACGCCGCGGCCCCGCCGGGTCCCTCCGACTCACAGCCTTCCGCCGCGGCTTCCGCTGGCTGCTCCCGGCGGACGGGCGGCCGCGCTCTATATGCGCTGAGGTGCGGCCCCCGGCCCGGGGAACTCCGAGGGAGCGTCAGGGCCGGGAAGCCGCTGGAAAGCCCCGGCGGCGCGCAGCGCATGCGCCGCACGGCGACAGGGCGGGGCGTCCGTCCGTCCCGTGCCGGCCGTGGCGGCGGCTCGCGGCCTCCGGGCTCCGTCCCCCCGAGCCTCGTGCGCTTCCTCCTTCGCCCCCCGAGCTGCCCGGACCCCCTCAGAGCCGCCGCGTCCCCGCTGCCCGTTTGCTGAGCGAGGAGCGGTGCCGCACGGCGCTGGGCGGGACGCCGGGTGCTTTCCTGGCGGTGCGGGCTTCCCCCGCGCTCGACGTGCTTCCCCTGCGAGTCGGGCGGGGGTTTCCGGGCCGTGCCCCCGGGCTGCGCCGGCCTGCCGCCCGCTCGGCACGCCGAGCTCACCTCGGGGGGCTGCCGTGCCTTCCTGCCTTCGTGTTTGAACTGTTCGTTAACCTTTTCTTCGCAGCGTTGCCAAGTTACGGGCTGCTGTGGGAGAGGCCGAGTGGTGACCGCCTGCGCTTCGGTCGCTGAAAGTCACGGGGGAACAACGGGAGGAAGGCAAAACCGAGTGCGAATTTCCACCAGCGTGTGTCAGCGCGTACAGAAAGCTGAAGAACTTCCGCAGCGGGTGCTGCCAGATCGTGGTATGACATTTCCTCTGAAGAAACAGCAAGCGGAAGGTGAAAAAGCCCCGCTTTGTGTGTGTGGTGTCAGAATGATGGCAGGGCGCTCGCATCGCTGAGAGCTGCAGCGTAGAAACGCAGCAGGCATAACGAACCATTGCTAAGGGTTCGTTATGACGCTGCCGGGTAATCTCTTGTGGCTGTTCCTGTAAGGTGGATTTGTGGACGATTCATCTCTTTTCTAAAATGGGTTCCAATTTTCTGTCACGTGTGATGACATTAATAATATGTCGGATTTCGAACGTGTATAGCTGCAGTCAGGTAGTTCTGAAGCACCATTACATTTCACTTTACTCCAGACATCGGAAAACTTCTCATTTCAGCAGTTAATTCAGAAAAAGCTTTTAAAAGTAAATTTTTTATCAGATCCCCGAGGTGTCACCTTAAGGAGGCTCCTGGCATTCAGAAGACAACACTGTTGCTGGAAAAATGGAGATAACTCCAGAAGTGCCGTATCTGAAGGAGGATCAGGTGTGGGATTTCACATCTGTTGGACACAGGGAATTCAGTATCACATAAGGAACTGAGCTCTGTGTGTGCATGTGTGTATGGTTTAAATTCTGCTTTCGTGGAGCAAGATGGGGATGCTCCCAGTTTCCATACTTCAAGCAGGCATTCCCAAATGAAGTTATACTGAATCCGTTTCTATCCATTCCAGGAGGCTTCTTGACGTTCTCCCAAAGCGAAATAATTCAGTGTTCCTCCTTAATTCCATACTGCAGCTTCCTGCCTGTGCCATCCCAGCCACATCCCTGCCCTTTGCTCCTCCATACCCTTTGGCCTCCTCCGGATCCTGCAATAGAAACTGCCATTTCCTCCCCTCCCAGGCCTTCAGGCAAGCAGTTTCAGGCTCTGTCTTTCTGCTAGGCAAGCATCATGTTGCAATAAGGAAGGAGAGAGGGGGAGAAATAGAAAAGCAGGCTAAAGCACATATAATAGCAGAAATAGTGTAGCTGGCCTGAGCTGCCAGCCCTCTTTTGCTTGCTCTGACTCTTGAGAATAGTAGCAGCTACCCTAGTTCTCCTTTCCCAGCATTTCCTTTGCAATTACAAGGAAAAGAGACGAGGGAGCTTTTCCTGCCTTCTTAGTGATGGATGGTCCTTTCTTCAAAGGATATGAGATAACTAAAGGTTTATTTTTAGAACTAAAATTCGTGAGGTGTGATGCATTATCAGCAGCATCCTGAGTCTAGCTTCAGCATCAGGCAAGGGAACTCCAAAGGCAGGGAGAGAAGCACAGCAATGCTTCAAATGGATACAAGCTGACAGCAGTAGGCTTGAACTTTGCTTCTGAGCCTGTGGCACTGCATGATGGGGCTGTCCCTTCCACCTGCAGCCTCAGACTTCAAAGATCACAATTGGACTGATAAACGAGATGCTTTACTCTGCAGATTCTTTGCTCTGGAGAAGGGGCAAAGGCTGATAAAGCTCTCCTCAACTAAAAAGAATCCTGCTTTCTGAGCAAGTCCCATGCACTCATAGAGGTCACAGTGTTAATGAAAGCGTGACTGCCACATTACCAGTGCTTGCGAAAATAAACCTAATGACAGTGTTGACTGAAATAGCGAAGGTGATATAGCTGGTTTCTGGAGGCGGAACACAGTGACCCTGCAGCATATGTGCATTAAGAATGCCAGCAATGAGTAGGTTGGACAGCCCAAGAAGCATCTGATACAACTGCACATCCAGAAATCTTCTCCAGGGGGCCTGATGAATGTAAATCTGCCCATGCTGCGATTCTTCTCTGGTCTGTTCTCCAGTTTATGGTCTCCGCAGTGCTAAGACATCTTCCTTTAATGGTGCCTCTGTCACATACCCCTAAACAGCTCTGAAGAGAAGAAGGTGAAAGGGCGGTGTTGTTTGCCTTTCCCATTGCTACTGCTTTTCTCTCCCTTACATTTAATCCCTTTAAGTACTGGAAGGCTGCAGTATGGTGTCCACGGAACCTTCTCTGAGCTGAACATGTTTAGCTGTCTCAGCCCTTCATAGGAGAGATGCTCCAGCCCTCTGATCATCTTTGTGGTCTGCTTCTGGACCCACTCCAGATGGGGCCTCACAAGGGCTGAGTAGAGGGGACAGTCATCTCCCTCCTGCTGGTCACCTCTTGATGCAGCCCAGGAGAGTTGGCCTTCTGAGCTGCCAGCACTCACTGCTGGCTCTTGTCCATCTGTTCATCCACCAGAACCCCCAAATACTTCTCGGCAGAGCTGCTCTCAATGAATTCTTCTCCCAGTCTGTACACACATCAGGGATTGCCCCAGCCCAGGTACAGCACCTTGTACTCAGCCTTATTGAACACCATTCTCAAGATGGAAACTTATCTGCTCTGTGGGATCCAGTGCCCTCCTGACATCCCTGTTTGGGGAAGCAAAGCTGGAAAATGGCCAGTGTGAGAGGAAGACATCTTTTTGTAGCAAAGACCATTGTCACCAATTTAAGCAACAGGCATCCACCCTGGCCTCAGTCTTAGTAATAGCCATGAAGACCATGAATCCCAAGCAACAAAGATGCTTTTGTGAAGAATGAATCACAGGATCTTGGTTACCCATGGTTTCCCATGTCAGGAGGGTTCTGACATTCAAGCTCTTTAATATTTATCTGTTCTTTGACATTCCCTACCAATAATCCTCCCACGGGATTCCAAACAACCCAGATGAAGAGCCACAATTCAGGACATTAGTGTACCCATTCCTTGGATTGGGAAGTGAGCCCACCATCAGTGGTCCTGCTGTCACATTCTGGGCAGCAAAAAAAATGCAACCTTAGCCCCACAGCCAGCTGCAAAGAATGCAGAAGAATTCTTTTTGCAGGGACATTTGAGATGTCCTTGAAGAGGCTGCACGTCCTGAAGAACAGGTTCCTTTATGCCTGGAGGGCTGACTGCTGGGACATGAGACTACATAAGCTCAGTCTTTCTAAATGCACTGGGCTTTAAGGTGGGAACCCCCTTACTTGTATGTGCAAATATTAACATTGATTTTAATCTCAGATGTTCTCTGGAGATACAAGCAGCTCAGAGTAGCAAATTCATCATATATGTGCTGCCAAGGATAAGAAACAACATAATCTGCAGTTTCAGTTGTACTGCTCAGGTCTTTAATTCTAGCCAAGAATGTGTCCCTAGTTGCTTTTATGTTTTAGGAGAAAACATTCAATTAGGTAAAGAAAAAATACTCCCAAGAACTTCAGATGCATTACTTCAATTATATTTATGGCCTCCTTGGATGTCATTATATAGAATCTACATAAAGTATCTAAATTCCAAGCTGCTTTAGGAGCACGAGGCAAAACATTTCTCCAAAGCCTCACAATACTTTATCAGGAAGCCATGCAACCCAGCCAGGGAATGGAGACCCCGTGCTTGCTCTTCTGCAAACCTAAACCCACCTATAAAACTCTGTGTTTGTTTTAAGAAGGAAAAAGAGTTGTTATCAGCTAGTGTCCACATTTTTCAGCTTCTGAAAGGCAGTGTATTCTGTCAGCTGTGCTGATGATAATTATTTTAAATTTAGAGTCAGTAACTGCTACTCGCAGTTCATAGGCATCATTGAACCCCTTTCCAGGAGTACAGAGGGAAATTTTGCATGCTAAACTGATCTAAGTTGGCAATTAGCATGCCAGAAAAGAACAGTGAGCTAATTTTCTTTGCAACACGTGGTTTCTCAGATGATGAAATAGGAAAAAAAAAAAAAAAAACAGATTTAAGGGAAATTTAGGGTAAGTCAGATTGAGACAGAATATTAACTCCAGATAAAGTATCAGGACCTATTTGTTTTTCCAAATCCCAGGAGAAGAGTAGTTCTGACATCTTGTAGGCATTACATCAGACAAGCTGTATTCTGATAATCTGTGTGAATGAGAGCTTCTTCCCACTTCTCTCCAACTAAACACAGCAACAGGGCACCCAGGTCTAGACCAGCAATAACTATTACAGTATCTTTATAATGAGACTATTAGCCACATTTTGGCATGTAGCAAATGAGAAAAAAAAAAAAAGACTCGTGAAGGACACATATATCTAGATAGTAAGGGCATCGTGACTCATTGTAGTAACCTCAAATTTTTAAGCAAAAAAAAAAAAAAAAAGAAGAACAAAAAACCCCACAGCCTACCACTCAGCGCTCCCCTACTGAAGGTCAGTACATTCAACATCTGGAAAGTTTCTGCTAGCTTTGCAGCCCAACAGAGTTTTGTTTTGCACATCCTCCTACGCAAAGGATCACAAGTGTAAATGTTAAAGTTTACCTAAATCTGTTGTAGGCTTTATTTTCTCATATTTACTGCAAAGAATACATTATCTTGTAAGCCATAATTGGTCTCCAGAAGATATCAAAACCTCTCTGATTAAGCGGAGGCTTTTAAATCAATCAGAAACTCTTTCACTGTTATTTATTTGGAGAATAAAAAATGACTTGGAATGATCTGCAGGAAAATTTTGGCAAATATTGTGATAGTTTCCCCTTTTAGATTTTAGAGCTGTTGACTTTTCCAAGTTTTATTCTCTGTTTACAGGAAGACAATTAGATTCAGCAAGAGAAAAGAACATGAAAAATGCCAAAAGAGATAACTACACTAAAGTGATCAAATTTAAGTGGGAGAGGGAACCGTATATACCATAAGAATCAAAAGGCTGCTCTTTGGCTGTATCCATTTGTTGAAGTTTGGAGCTGCTCATCCTTAATAATACCTTATCCAAAGGTATAGTCTTTTTAAACAGCAAGTTGTCTGCTCTGACTCAAAGTTACTTCCTGCTATTGAATTAAGAACAAGAATAGGTCTTATTTCCTTCCATTTATTGCCCTTCATCTCTGCAAGTTTTAGATCGTTCCCGCAGCCTTCAGTTTGCTTTAGCTGAACTAACTCTTGCTATGTACAATCTTGACAGGTTTGTGGTTTTGGCTGGAATAGAGTTTTCTTATAGAGGCTTGTAAGGTGCTGTGTTTTGGATGTAAGATGAGAACTATGTTGATCACACACCAATGGTTTAGTTGTTGCTGAACAATGCTGCACAGAGCCCAGGATGTTTCAGCTTCTCACACTTCCCTGCCAGTGAGCAGCTGAGGGTCACAAGGAGCTGGGAGGGGGCAGAACCAACACAGCTGACTCAGACTGGTCAAAGGGATATCCCATGCCGAAGGGCGTCATACTGAGCAATGAAAGCTGGGATAAAAAAAGAGGAAGGAGGTGTCATGGGTGTGATGGTATTTGTCTTCCCTAGAAACCACTACAAGTGAGCCCTGCTTTCCTGGGACTGGCTGAACATCTGCATGCCGATGGCAAGTACCAACTGAATTCCTCGCTTTGCTTCACTTCCATGTACAGCTTTTGCTTTACCTGGTAAACTGTCTTTATCTCAACCCCCAGTTCTCGCACTTCTGCGGTTTCTGATGCTCTCCCCCATCCCATTGGGACAGAGTGAGCAAGCAGCTGTGTGCCTGCTGGCTTTAACTGGTTACCCAGAGAGGCTGTGGATGCCCCATCCCTGGAGGTGTTTAAGGCCTGGTTCGATGGGGCCCTGGGCAATCTGATTTAGTACTTGGACTAGTGGTTGGCAACCCTGCCTACAGCAGGGGGAGATAGAAATTGATGATGTTTGAAGTCTCTTCCAATTCGAGCCATTCTGATTCTATAATTCTATGAATTACATCACAAGAGACCTTTTGGCACCCACATAAGGCACAAAGGGTTCAAGGTGATGACAGATTGAAGTGTGCAATATGTTAGACCAAATCTATAGAAGTTGCAGCTGTTTGCTGCTAATTTGCAGGCTCCTGTCCTTGCCACAGGGCTTGTTTTCCTTACTGCATGTTAGAGTCAGTACTTGTTAGTGGCTGCTTTTGCTTCTACTGTTTGCTTCACTCCTTATCATCTTGCCTTTCTGTGCCTGGGAACATTCTGATAACAGCTGTGGAGCTACTCTGGCAGCTGGCCAAGGCATTGCTGCTGCTCCATAGCTGCTTGCTATGGAGATATCCATGTTGCAGCAGGTATACTTTGCAGTGTCTGTGGATGACGCCGTGCCAGGATATACCTTGAAGCCTCTGTGGCTGTGAATAATACAAAAGAACAGTGCCCGAAGGGACCTCTGAGGGATATGTGGCCAATGGACAAGGCCTCGCCAGAGCCACACCTCCAAATGAATGTGCCTGTGGATAAGTCCATACTGCAGAAGAGATACCTCTGAAGAGGTTGTGGTCCATCAGTAAGCCCACACCAGAACAGGTAGACCTCAAAACACCTCTGGATAACTCCATGATACAATAGGTATCTCTGAAGGGATTGTGGCTCATGGATTAGCCCTTGCCAGAACAGGTATACATCTAAGGGACTTAGGCCAACAGAGAAGCACAGGCTGGGGCAGAGGTAAAGGGAAGAGTTCATTGCAATGTTAAACCCTATATCCTGGTCCAAAAGGACAAGGGGTGGAGATGGTAATGACTAAAGCTTTAGATTGTTGGAACCCATATTCTGAATTGCAGGACTTTTGTACTTCACGTGCTGCCCTGCTGGTGAGGAGCTGGGGGTACAGCAGGAGCTGGGAGGGACAGAACCAGAACAGTGGACCCAAACTGGCCAAAGGTATATCCCATACTATATGGCATCACTGAGCAATAAGAGCTGGGGTGAAGGAGAAGAAGCAGAGTATATTGGGATTGGGTCATAGCTGTGACAAAGTGTTCTGTTTAAAATTATGATGACATCAGAAAGTATATCATCCACTCAGAGCTTTCAAATATCACTTCAGTACATGGGAATTCACTAACTTCCAAAAGTCGGCATTAAAAGAGCAACTTCAGCTTTATGTTCCCACGTACAAAATAAAGCCCTAATTCCAGGAGAGATGAGAGCTATGTGCCTGAGTTCCCAGTGCAGCAATGGGGAACTGATCTGTGGTTTGAAACTACCTACCAACGAACTAGCAGAAATGCTCTTCACAAACTGATGAAGCCATAAACCATCAGTAAAATCTACTTGAATAATGATGCACAGATATTTGTAGCAGATGTGGGATTTGATGATAGGAGTGGGGAAATGCTTAGGTTAATCCTGCTAATGAACAATAGTAAAAGTGTAGCCTGAGAGAAGCTGGACTTTTCTTTTGAGGGATATGCTGTGTAATCCTATGTTATGTAAGAACATGTTGGGAAATGAGAAGAAATGCCATTCTACTGGAAAAAAAAAGAAAATGGTGAGCTGAGTTTGCTTTCAAATTTCCCCACATTTGATATGAAACCAGCAGAACGGGCAGATAGGTACATTCTCATATGAAAACAAACAAACAAACAAACAAAGGGCAAGATAAACCCAATGCTAAAATCAGGCTGAACAGTCACTTTTGTTTTCCCCAGTGGAGCAGGAAGGAGGATCTCTCCTCTGCTGGTGTGCTCATTCAGAAGGATCACTGCAGACTGAGCCTGGGTCTTCTGTCCAGAGTTTGGTTACACGTGATAGTCCGAAAGGTCACTCAACTTCTTGTTTCTTGAACAAAGCTTTGGGGCATTTTTTTTTTTTTTTTTTTTTTTTTAATCCTAATAGAAACATTTTAGGGCCAGAAACTCAGAGTGGCAGCCAGAGCGGCTGTGTTCATTACCCCGCAGTGCCACAGAGAGGATACAATAGCCTTGGAAAGGCAAAGGGCTGTTTATTACTGTGTAGCAATTATCAGCAGAGACCAGAGGCTGGAGAAGTGCTGTCCTGAAGATCTCTGGGATCAAAGTAATTGTTATCCTGTCCTTCCATTATGTGAGATAAAAGAAACAAAACACCTCATTGCTAGCACAGAGAAGGAATATTTGCACCAAAAATGAAAGTTGGTAAAATGTGATTGTACAGCACATAGCATCTTCAGTAAGAAGCCCCATTCTCTGATGGGGCTTCTTCGATGTCCTTATTTTACAAAATACTAATATCATAGTGAATAAAAGGCTAGTTTGTTATATTGTAAAAGAAGTTGAACGCAAACAATGGGGTACCTCAACCATAACCCAAGGAGCCTGCTGATTGGTCTCAGAAGTTACATCATGATAATTGAACCAGGTAAGACCGCAATACTTCCTCAAACTACACCAAGGTCAGAAGTACACTGCGAGGAGGACATACAGCATGCACAGAAGCAATAATTAGGGGTGGAGGTCGGTGCATAGAATGGGCGTGGAATATTGTAAAGAATCCCTTGAAGTAATTGTAATAACCACTCCTTTTCTTGGAAATATTATGAATATGCATGTATTCATTCTATAAACAAAGATGCTTACGTGCTTTCAGTGTGCAGGTTAGGAGAGGCTTCCCCTCCTGCACCCAGTGTGTGCGCGCAGTGCTGAATAAATATACCAGCTTTATAACTGCTTTGTGGTTATAGAGTTTGATTCTGCAAGTCAATAGATAGTCATGAGACTGAATTTGTCTTTCTTGGAGAATAAGACGTTTAAAAAAGACAAGACCACCTGATCTGAGATTCAAGGTGCTATCTTCTAATCAGACTTTGCTAACAGTGGAGAACTACCTGCCAAGGGCTGGCAGAGAGGAGGTTCATATATCTCAATATCAAACCTTCCCAATCCTTGCTTGGAGAAGAGAAGGCTCCAGGGCAACCTAACTGTGGCCTTCCAATATTTGAAACAGGAGAGGGGATGACTGTTTACAGAGCTGGATAGTGATAGGACAAGGGGGAATGGTTTTAAACTGAGACAGGGGAAGTTTAAGTTAGATATTAGGAAGAAGTTTTTCACACAGAGGGTGGTGAGGCACTGGAACAGGTTGCCAAGGAGGTTGTGGATGCCCCATCCCTGGAGGCATTCAAGGCCAGCTTGATGTGGCTCTGGGCAGCCCGGTCTGCTGGTTGGTGACCCCGCACATAGCAGGGGGGTTGAAACTCGATGATCATTGTGGTCCTTTTCAACCCAGGCCATTGTATGAATCTGTGATTCTTCAGCACACAGCATCCTTTAAAGCACCACCTGCACGTTGAGAAATCCAAATGCAAGGCTGTGAATAAACTAGCAGTAGTAGGCTTATTAATGGCCCTCTTGATAGTTAACTTTCATCCCATCTGAAGTTCTTCCTAATGCAGCTTTGAATGGATGTAACTGTAAAGCTGGTTTGTGTCTGAGCTTTGTCAGCTATGTGCTGTAGGTCTCCTGAAAGCCATCTCCTTCACCTGGACACTTGGTTATGAACAAAATAAGCTACTGTGAGAAAGTACTCAAAATTCAGCAAGTTCTCCTCCTTTGAGAGAATATGTATCAATTTGGAATCTGCCCAGGACTGAAGCAGTTTCTCTTTTTTTCTGTGGGTCTGTTTTTCTCACTTGGAAATAATGGCAGTATTCATTCCTGACCAGTTCATAAGGTTACTCCTTCTAAATAAGAAGCAGGAGTATGAGGTGCAGAGCATTTCAGGCCTTAGCACATTCCGTGTTGTGACAATGATTCCCCTTCTGTTCACTTCGTCGGGGTAATTCAAAAAGGAGTTTGTTTTGAAGTGAAACATTGCATGTACATACTTAGTTGCTCAATTCTGAATCCAGACATGCAGACTTATAGGCCAAGGCTTTGTAGAGAATACATTTCTACTGTGAGCACTGTTCTTTTATTTCTGTCCTGTCAAATCTCTCTTTCCCCTTCCAATTAGCTCCTTTTTATCTAATGCTAATCTTCTGCACACACAAAAAAAATCCCCACATTTATACAATATCCTGTTTTTTGCACACTGTTATCTCTTCATTTGCTGCACACAAGCACCCTTCAGCTGACGGGTTGTCAGCTGCATCGTTTGCAGGTTGTCAGGCCTCCCACATCACAGCCCAGCCCCAGCAAGAAAGCCTGTAGCTTTTTTCACAGAAGAAGATAAGCTACAAAATTCATCGTAAACCCATTTCTTCTGCTCAATAGTTAGCAGGACAAAAGACAAGCCTATGCAAAGCAAAGTGTGTTTGTCCCCTGTAATACACTATATGATGACAGACGCTACAGAAAGCTTTAGAAGGCAGGCATGCTACAGCAAGTCTGGAAACAAAAGGAACTGCTGACCAGAAAAACTCTAAGAAAACACCAAAAAGTACTGCAAAATTTGACTTTAATGCAAGATCAGAACAAAGGTTACAGGGGTGCAATTAGTAAGAGAATCATCCAGTGAAATGCAGAAGGGCAGTAAGATACCTCTGAGTTTGTCAGTTTTTATATTCAAATGGAAAGAAGAAAGGTCTTTTAAGATATTTGATGTGTTTTTCATTAAATCCAGGGTAAAGAAGAGGAAAAAAAACCCCAAACCCACAACACTTAAAATGTATTACATAATCGTGAAATACTATTTTCTCTCTTTAAAGATGTGAGAGTGTTATGTCACTAGTAAGTCTATTTTGAGT